GTTTATGTTCGTTCGTAAACATGCTAAACGAACGTAAACGAACGAAAATCTTTGTGTTCGTCGTGTTCGTTTGTTTAGAAATAAGGTGTATTCGTGTTCGTTCGTTTAGAAATAAAGTGTATTCATGTTCGTTTATGTTCGTTCGTAAACATGCTAAACGAACGTAAATGAACGAACGTAAATGCTACCAAATGCACCAAAAGAGTCCCTAAAACATGAACAGGCTCAATGAGGCAAACCATTTATGGAAACCTCTAGTCTGGTTTCACAATGATTCTCCTACTTGGTCTAGAAATTTATCCCATAAAACATCAATCCCACAGCTTGCAAGCTCCACCCAAGTTTTTTCACAAAACAAGACCATGTAAGCAAACATAATTTGGTTAATTTTCTTTGTTTTACATATATACTTGTCAGGGTCAAAGTTTCATAGCCATTAGCAGGAAACCTGACCCAACCATGTATGCCATGTGCTTTGGCACAATCCAAACATGGTCACAAAAGACAAACTATGTGTGAACAGGGGAGAGGAATACTCTTGAAATAAAGGTGAAAATCAGAATATATGGAGAATATTTTACCAGTGACAAGCTAAGGGATGGACCATCTAGACTCCAAGGTGTTATGTGATCCATCCATAAAACCAAGAGGATTCTTGCCATATGATTAGGTGGGATCAAAACATCAATCAAACAAAGCCAACATGTGTTGTAACAGTAGAGCATATAAAATTAATGACCATAAACCATTTACATCTCCACATGGGACACGGTCCATTTTCTTGTATGATAAAGTTACAACATTTAAACACAAGTCGGTTCCAACTTCAAAGCCCATCATCTGTCAATCAAGAAATAAAGAACCGAGTGAACAGGGTGACTTGAATATTTAAACGTGTATTTTACTTCTCCAAATGTAGAAAAAGGAAAATAGTAATGAACTTGAGGATCTTTTTGGTAATTCCCAAGTGGGAAAGAATAAAAATAAAAGAAGGAAAGAGAATAGGGTTTCGACAGGTTCTTTTAGATACATGACATTCTGACAGATTTTGAGGCATTCTTGGATGAAGAAGTGGCATTTATCTGTCGGGCAGTAAGAAGGCCAAGCTTTTAAAGAATATATATATGAAAAGGTTATTCTCCTAAATATCCAATAAAACAAATCCATTTTATTCCAATTCGATGTTCAGTCACCCAAAAATAAGTAAAGTAAATAAAGGGAAATGCCCTTCGATATGATTTAACAAACTCCCTTCATCGACTGGATGGATTGTGATGTACAAACAAGGTAAAAGACACCCTCTGTTAAAATACAGAGATATTTTCCAATTACATCCCTCAAATTAGAGTAGCATGGCTTTCCAGTGATCCAAAAAGAAAAATAGAATTAGAAAGAATCTTCCTTTTCCCCCTACCCTCACAATGGTTTCCTCCTTTTTCCTTTTCTATAATGGTTGTGTCTTTATCCATCTTTAAGCACAAAAAATCTTTTCCCCAGGGTCTTCTTATAGAATGCCTTGTTCTAAGCACAAAGCCTCAGCCGAGAATCCAAAAGAACCCAAGATGGAGAGTTTGAAGAGCGACCCAGATCAAAATGAACCCAAAGATACCTACAAGATGGCTTATATAATCCATTTCTTACTTGGTGCAGGCAATTTGCTTCCATGGAATGCGTTAATCACAGCTATTGACTACTTTGGCCATCTTTTTCCAGAAAAACATGTAGAAAAAGTGTTCTCAGTAGCTTATATGAGTTCGTCAACTTTAGTTTTAATTATTGTGATAAGTTGGAGAAATTTCAGCAGAATAGTCACCTTCCAAGTGAGGATGAACGTGGGATTTACCATGTTTTGTCTGTCTCTCATGGTAACTCCATTGATTGACTGGTCTTGGCAGGACGTGAAGTCTAGCACAGCATTCTATGTCGTGGTTGCATCAGTTGTGATATGTGGTTTAGCGGATGGTTTAATAGGAGGGAGCCTCGTAGGATCTGCAGGAAAATTGCCAAAACAATACATGCAGGCCATTTTTGCTGGAACGGCTTCATCAGGTAACTTATGTTGGCAAACATATTGATATGCAATTTCATTTTGATTTTTTTTTTAGGTGTACCGTACAATTCAGAGATGTAGCCTAGTACCAAAGGTCAATATCATGGTAGCGGTTAGCAATTTTCTTAATTTGGACAAGGGCATGTTCAAATTATTGGATGAGAACCGTAAATATTTTTGAGAATATGATAATCAACTATTCATGAGTTATTCACAATGAATATCATGAATAATTAAAATCATGATATTCACGACGAAAATTCATGAATAATTAGGACTATTCATAATGAATAACTCATGAAATAGTTGGCCCTCATATCTCAAAATTTATTTATGGTTTCCCCTTGGGTTATAATCTCACCATCACTACAAAGAGTTGCATTCTATGAAGACTTTCACTCGAAAGTGATGTGTCAATTAGCAGATTTAGTTCAAAACATCCTCTTCCAATCAAAAAAGATGAGCTAATAATTACAACAATCAATTTCTCAGGAATTCTTGTTTCCCTCTTGCGGATTACAACAAAGGCATCACTCCCACATGATCCACAAGGGCTCAAGAAAAGTGCTCACTTATATTTCCTAGTTAGCACGCTCATTTTGTTGGTTTGCATGGTTTTTTGTACCCTGCTGTACAAGTTTCCAGTCATGGAACAACATTACAAATTACTCCAACGTGACAGTTCCGCATCAAGGACTAAATTCTGGGATGTAGCAAGAATGATCCGATGGCCTGCTCTAGGGATATTCATCATATATACTGTAACTCTATCGATTTTTCCAGGATTCTTAGCAGAAAACATAGAGTCACAACTCCTTAAAGACTGGTACCCAATAATGTTGATTACCACTTACAATATTGCCGATTTTGCTGGAAAATCCTTCACCGCGATTTATGTCCTAAACAATATTACTAAGGCTACGTGGGGTTGTATGTGCAGGTTGTTGCTATATCCACTTTTCACAGCCTGCCTCCACGGACCTAAACGGCTTAAAAATGAGGTGTTTGTGGTATTTCTGACGGTTATTTTGGGGTTCACCAATGGGTATCTGACAAGTGCCATCATGATTCTAGTGCCTAAATTAGTGCCACCTTCAGAAGCAGAAATATCTGCGATTGTGATGGCTCTGTTCTTAGGACTGGGGTTAGTTTCTGGTTCTGTTCTTGGCTGGTTTTGGATCATCTGAAGCTACACAGACAACAAGAAAGGAAGGAAAATTCTCTAGGACAACAAAATTATTAGATCTTCTAGTTACCAGATGTAGTCTCTCGTTTGTCCTATTTCTTAGCTTTTAATATTATACAAGAATATCATTAATTTTTATTACATGCAATCGATGATGAAGAAAAAGAAAAGGATCCGAAGAAAAAGAGCTACGGATGTAGATCAGACAAGATGGTGGGTTCTGAGAATTTGTGAGCTGGAATGTCAAAAGGTTGGGCAAAGCCAATCCTATGGTTAGCCCAAGTGAAGCCAAATCCACTCAGCTGACTATCCTAGCCGGGGTTGAACCAACTATAGCGTGGGTTAGGCAACTCGATGAGCCTATATGAGCCAAGCTTGAATTAACCAAACCTACGGGGTTCTATGAGTTTATGTTAGCCAATTTGAGCAATTTGTGTGATACATTCTAAGCCAGTAGTCTTGGTCTCATAAGGACTTCTAATTGTACTATGTTATGACAGAACTTCCTTGTACAGTCAAATGAGCCTAGCCTATACAAGTCGAGTCAAGGCCCAAGTTTATATGAGCCTATATGAACGAGGCCTATAAAAGCCAAGCCAGGGATCAAGCATTTGGCAAGCGGACTTCATTTTGAGCAATTTGAGTCCGCTATTAATACAATTTGTAGTCTAATGTTTATGGCTAGTCGACACAAAGAGAAAAGGAAAAGTTAGTGATGAGGCAAGGAAAAAAAATCATAACATGAAAGCATATTGCATTTCAAAGTGTAAAAGCATCTTCAAAATGTGACATATACCAAGCATATGTCATGAGTGGGGGTGGAGGTGGTGGAATTATAATATAGTGGTGGTGGTGAGATTGGTGGCGGTGGTGGTAGTGGAAAAATTGGCGGCAAGGGCGGGGGTGAGGGTGGTCCGGGGTGGTGAGAGTGGGGGTGGGAGTGTTGGTTAAATTGGATGCAAAAGTTATTTTTGTCTTTCTAAAACCAAATTATAGATTTTGTTACATTTGCGACAAAATGGAATTCAAATCCTTCACATATGCCAAGGAACGATCAAATCCCTCAACCGTGGAATTCAGCGGAATCCAATCAAATTCATTCTGCGGACCAAACATCGTCAAGATATTTGTTATTCCAATTCCATCAAATTTCTTTGAATTCTGCGAACCAAACAGCCTCTTAAGATTCTCATTACAGTTCTTTTAAAAAATACAAAGAAATTTGATTCCACATACCTCAATGACGTTTCATTATGCCCTGACTGCATCGCTGCAATGGATCAGAAAATAGCTCCCATGTCCAACAGCCATCACTATGCAACTAGCAACCACTCTTATTCTGCATGTCAAAATCCTGCAAGTCAAAGCGAATGAGACATTAGGTTTTGTAAGAAGTGCAAAGTTCTTGAGGTTTTCAGGGGAATTGTTACGATATCACCTTCTCAATCCTTACAGTTTTACTTGATCCATTGGGAAAAAAACAACAATATATATTATTCATTGCTTTTCAAGATTGTCCATGCCATACAACTGGGAACTCGGTTTCTGATGATAAATAAAGTTCCTCCTTATTTTTTTATTTTATGTTAAACATAGGCGTCCGGGACAGCTTGCACGCACCTCTCCTAATCCCATGGGCCCTAGAGAACAGCCAGAAAATCCCATTGGCCTTGGAGGGACTCTAACAGGTGACCTTTGGCGACGAGCCCCAAAGGCCCAAGCCTTATTGCCAGTGAGCTAACCCCTCAAGGTCACTGAGATCTTGATTGCTCAAACCTCCCAAGATTTTCCTGCCTGTTCTCCACGGGCCCATGGGATTGGTCGAGGTGCATGCAAACGACCCAGACACCATGGTTAACAATAAAGTTCCTCCTTATTGAGACCTTGATTGCTCGATTGAATGTGGTTGTTATCTTGCACTGATAATCCCAACATAGAAAAACTTCTAACTGCTCCAAAGCCCAATTAATACATTACAATAGAATCAACTTATTTACTTGCAAAATAGGACAGCAACCATTTAGTCGTAGTATTTGTCATTCTAGTTGAAGACTTCATCTTGCATGAAGCTTAGCGTCTATATGCAATAGTGTGTGCAAAAGTCAAATTTATATGCATATAGTGCAATGTAGCATATATGCTAAAATGCTCCTTTTTGTAAGATCTTCCCGACTATTATTCAAAATAGTCCAACTATGCATGTAAACTGGACCTTTGAGGCAATTATAGATCTTGGGGGACAATTATGATTGGTCAATAAAAAATCAATTTCAACACTATCATTAATAATTAGTTTATAGCCCGTTTATCATAGAAGGTAAAAACAGGGAAAGGAACCATGTATGATTAGGGGTGAGCATAGGCGGGTACCCGTCCAATTTGACAGGAACTGGAACCGGCGGTTCTTGAGATATTGGAACCGGAACCGGTTAGAGCGGTTCTTGAATTTTTGGAACCGGAACCGCCGGGAACCGATTCTGGTTTGGGGTACCCGCTTCTTAAAATATTAAAATTTTGTTATTTAGAAATAAAAAATAAAACATTGCCAAAACACTAAATAAATAAATAAATAAGAATACAAATTATACAGAATAATGGTTACAAATATTGTTTAACGATTATAAACTATAATAGACTAATAGTAAATATTGAAAGTTTAACGATTGCATACTATAATTGTAAAGGTTCAAAATTTAACGATTACATACTATAATTGTAAATGTTCAAAGTTTAACAATTACATACTACGAGTCCAATTAAACACATAATTTGAAAAAATACGAATCATTTTATCTCAAATTCTGAATTTAGAGTTCTAAGTTCTTGACCTAATTTAAATTTAGTATTAAAAAATTTAGTTATTATTTTTTAATTGAAAAATACCGGGTACCCGGTCCTGGAACCGGTCCCGACGGGTAACGGTTCCGAAAAATTGAGCACCGGAACCATTCTCAATCAGTTTCGTATTTTAGGAACCGGAACCACTCATGTCGGTTCCGGTTCCGAAACCGACAGTTTCAAGGCAGTTCCGGTTCCGCAAATGGGTACCCGGTTCCACTGCTCACCCCTATGTATGATTGTCCTCTAAATTTAAATTTTCTTCTTTGGAATGTAAAAAAGGGATCAAATCAATCAAATCCCAAGATCAAGAACCATTTTTTTGACTATGATCCCCAGTGTAGATATTTCATCACCAATCCCTAAACGTGTGATTGCTTATGAGCTTGACTAGATACAGTATTCGGTAATCATCCCTCGGCAAATTTCTTTGTTAATCCATTTTAATCTGGTTAATCACTTGATCCAATGAATTATAAACAATAAAACAAAAATTCCCTTCATGCATTTATACGAAATATGAATTGATTTTCATGAGAAATAATGCAATACCCTTATTAATTTGTCGTTGTCCTTGCCAGTTGATGCTCAATACAAGAAGTATGTCGTCTAGTTTTATAGAGCATTACTACGAATACAACTTATACTCAATGAAAAATTTTACGAGCTTGTAGAGCACAATTATCAATATCTTGTATACAGGTCGAGTTTTTCTTCCATAAAATAATCATAACTCTAAAATCAGCGAATCTGCCAAATAGGGATGGTGATTTGCCCCAACCCGGTGGGGAACCCGGTTCCCCGACCCGAACGGGGATGGGGATTCCTCGCTAAAATGGGTCCCGGGGTCGGGGATCCCCGGTAGACACAAACCGGGAACGGGGGATGTTACTCAAACCGGAGACGGGGACGGGGTCGGGGATCCCCGGTAATATCAAAATAAATGATACTATTTACGGGGTTTGACCGGGTTTTTACCGGGTTTTGACCGGGGATTGCTAGAGATTTGACCGGGGACGGGATAATAATCCCGGGGACTGGGGCCGGGGGACGTTACTACAAACCGGGCCAGGGATTACAAAACCGGACGATCAAAGAATGATGACAAATAATCTAATTAATAAGAGAAAATTATTGAAATCTTTTTTGCAACAACAAATTGATATGTCGGAGAATATGAATGATACGAATAGATATTTTGTTGATGAATTCATCAATCTAAATACCCCGTCATTTAATGTTGTATTTTAGTGGAAATAAAATGTTTAATTATAATATTTCGCTACAACAACATTAGATCTTATAGGATGCCTAAAATATCTAAGCGTCCTAATATTATTCTTTATAGGACAAAACAAGAAAAATGTTTATCTAAAAGAGTTACAATATGTTTATAGGATGATTTTTGGAGTCCTAAGAAATTCTATGACGCTTTTAAAATAAAGTATCATATCAGTTATTTTATACGATACGACTTGAAAAAATATATATGAACATAGGTGTCCTATAAATAGATGAGTTTTAGGGACACTTCTCAAAATATTTATATAAAATAACTAATACGACATTTTATTTAAAGATCATTCTAAAACACTTGTTGAAGCGTCCAAAAACGTCATGTAAACCTATTGTAATCTTTTTAGATATGACGCTTTATAGTATGGTCTATAAACTTAAGTTATATGAATTATTTCATTCGTCAAATTTATGTAACTACTAACCCGTCAACCCAACCCAACCCAACCCAACTCGTCTCAACCCGCAAGGGTTGGGTTATACTTTTGAATAGGTTGGGTTGGGTTAAGATTTTTTCAAACCGCCATAATTAGGTTGGATTATAAAAATATTGTAAACCGCCCAACCCAACCCGCATGCACCCCCTACCCAAAATTAGGCGAAGGCTATGAACTTAGAAATGGAGAGCAATTCGAATAAATGACCTTAAAACTTTGTGTTTCGTCGTTTTCTAAAATATTGTCCCAACTGGTTGATTAATTTGCAAAATTAATGGGAAGAGGTCTTTATTAATGAAGGGCCTATTTATTCATTAGCATGCATAACAAGGTACCCAGAAAATTGTATGGTTTCTTTTATGGTAGTATGTGCATGAATTTGTTTTTTTTTTTATTAACCTAGATATCCAATCTGTTATGCGAACTGACTAATTTAAGAGCGATCACCTGCTTTGCAGATAGTCCAGAGTCACCGCATTTGAACCTCCATGGCTACAAAGGGATTTTTATTTCTCTTTGGATTTGAATCTGGGATCTTCTGGTGTTTTTGATCTTTGAAGTAAAGCTCAAACCAATAAATCACCACCTTTGTGGTTGAATTTGTTGTTATCAATGTTGTATGGATAACCCATTAGACATATGATCTCTATGGATTACATACCAATCTAGACAGCCATGCATAATGATATAAATGCAATAAAGCTAAAGTCAATAAACATGAGATACTTCCAAGCACTTTGTGGGGCAGAACTCAGTACCACTACAGTCATAACATTAGGTGCAATGTCTCATTCAATTCCAAACACTAACTAGATATTTTATGCAAACAACAAAACAGCAGGTAATATAACATAATCCTCCACTGATTTTTTATCATAATTCATTCAATCATTAAGTCTTATATGAATAAAGTTGTCAGTGTGGATTAATTTTTATCTATATAGATTGGGAAGCTTTTTTCATAGATGGAAGGAGCTTGTTCTTTTAATTGGAAAGGGCGAGTTAGAAAAACTTGTCTTTCTACATAAAGCTCACCCATAGAAGCTTGTTGAATAAGTCACTTTCCATATTATTAAGCCACTACATATAGTCATGTGAATAGTGTTCATCATCTCTAAGATGCTGCAGCAATTGGAGGTGGTTGTGAAGCTCCTGTTAAGAAACTCGGTGTTAATACATTCATATTGCAAATAGCTTTCTTATCAACTTCGTCGTCGTCATCATCATCGTCATCGTCCTCTTCCTCATCATCGGCATCCCAAAGAAACCGAGCGTAAGAAGCCATAACATAACTGCACCATCAAATCACAAAAGCTCAGACCAATCGGGGAAGAAACATCAAAGCGTAAAGCAGAGTTCTTTAATTAAGTATTTATGATAACATTGATCTTACCAGTCATCTGGGGAAGCCTGAACAGCTTGATCGAAATAACTCCGTGCACGAGGAGCATCCTTATGTGTCTCCCAAATCAAATCAGCATACATTGACAACACATTTCCATCACTTGGGTTTGCCAGTATTGCTCTGCTGCAGTACTCTTCGGCCTTCGAAAAGTCTCCTCGTACCTATTCGAAACCATAGATCATTCATTCAATAAAGAATCATAACCCCATTTGGATTAGAAATCAAGATTTGTAGCATATGCATACCTCTTTCAAGTATTTGGCATAATTGCTAAGAAGCATCGAGTTCGCAGGGTTTGCTTCAATCATGGTCTGGTAATACAGATCGGTACCATCTTCGTGATGATGATTACTGTGACCACCACCGCCTGAGATCTTCCCTTCACCGCCACCGCCACCGCCACCTCCACCTGCCCCATCCACCATAACCCCAAATCCCCTCCCCTCATTATCATATAATCCATAGTTTGAAAACAGCAAAACCCCACAATCGCTCTCCTCTCCTTCCGTATCTTCTTCAACAGCTATAGCAGAAAGCAAACAATTTGTATTCTTTCTGAGTGGACTCTTACACTTGGAGAGGGAGCTAGCGATCAAATCAGCCTCCGATGAAGCTCTACTGATCTTCTTAGAAGAATCATTAAATGAATTCAAAGAATACAACGAAATTGTTGGTAATTTGGGGGTACGACGAATAGATATGGACTCCAACGACAATGATTCGCTCAGGTTTTCGTGTCGAAACCATGAATTGAGGGCCGGATTAGATGAGCTACGAAGTAGCATTTTCGAAAGCCCAAATACTTATTTCAAGAACTATAAAACCCCAAAAAGAATCCAAGATCGAGGGTTTGAAAGAATCGAAAGAAGGTTTGGAGGATTTTATAAGGAGAAAGGGCGGGGCGGGCATTAGATCTGCGCCGTTGGTATGGCGGCTTGTGACACGGCTGACGGCCAGCCGTTTTCGGCTTTGTTTTCTTTTGAGTGAATTACATTTTCAGTCCCTGTATTTCTCAATTTTAACGGATATTGTCTTTAAAATGAACGTTTGATGAATATATGTGGATCAGATAATTATTTGAATCGTTTGACATCAGTGACTCAGTGTCACAAACTTAGTATTGGGATAATTCAAATGAATCTTCTAATCTTAAAAGTTATAAGAGCGGCTCCTTATATATACTCAGATTCTTGTTCACATATTTATAGTAGTTACAACTGTTAGCGGATAAGATTTAAGAGTAGTTACAATTGACTCAGAGTCATAAGCAACAAGTCCATAAAAGAAACTTATGGGCGGAAGGCCCAGAGGCTCTAATCGTCTATCTTAGAAACAAATCCTAGTTCGGAGAATCTGATTTTAGAGGTTCTAATCTTAACACTCAGAGGAAGCTCTTCAGAAGAACCAGAAGTTGTCTTTAACCAGAAGCTCTAATCCAATACTTGCTTGAATTTTAGCCAAGTTAAGGAATAGGAATGGCAATGGGCCGGGTTCGGGTCAGGTATTGGTCTCCCCGTCCCCAAAACCAATAGCTAAAACCGTCCTCGTAACCGTCCCGATCCCCTTCGGGGATCTTATCAGGGATCTCCATCGGGTCCCCACGGTTTCCCCAGTCCCTGTTGGGGAACCCGTTAAGGGTAAAAATCATCCTTTTCACCGTTGGTTATAACCGAACCCGAAACCGATCTAGAAAAAATTACAATATACTAATTTTCAAATTAAAGTGAATTACAATTTTTTTTAAGATGTAAGTTTAAATGTCTCAAACATAATCGAACCAATTACAAACGATGTATTAGATTACAATATAAAACTAAACATAAATTCAAACATCATACAACTAAAATCACGATTTTAGACAAATAAACTAGACTTTTTCGTGAGCTTTATTTGGTTTGTTGAGGTAAAATGAATAAAAAAAAAAATTTAAATTTTAATGTTACTATTTTCTTTTAATGAAATTATACATATATATATATATATATATATACACACACACACAATATCGGGCCGGATTGGGTCGGTGATCGTTGTCCCCGAATTCGTCCCCGATCCCCGCCCCGTCCCCGATAAGATGTCCCTGAACCCGGCCCAAAAGTTTCGGTTTTCGGTTTTCACCATCGGTTTCGGTTTTTTTTTTGCCATCCCTATTAAGGAACAATTTCAAAAAGGCTTCCGACCCTCTTAAATTCCTCCTAATTGTCCAGAAACATAAAGTTCTTAAGTAAACTACCAAGGACCCTACCTCTAGGAACCTGTAAGTGGGCACAACTCGCTTGACCACCCCCCTCCCCCCGCCTTATAGCGATATATGGTGATAAATACAACATTTATGAGTGTGCACTCCACATCTCTTAGCTCACTTATTATTTGCCTCTTCACCTAGTCGATCTCACGTAAATCAAAATTACACTAAAATAATTGATGACACTAAAATCATCAACAACGATTAGTGTGGTTTGTTTTCCTCAAAGGTTTCAGACCCTAACACTGATGTAGTTAGAAAAGTAAGTTAGGGTGAAAGGTATTTTAGTTTTTTTTTTTTTTTTTAAATGAGATCTAGGGAGAACTCCAAAAAAGAATAATGAAAAACAGATCAAAATAAAAATCAATATTAATATCAAATTAAAGAGGGGGTTTTCTACTCCACTAGCATTGGAGCTCTTGGGTAACATGGGCTATGGAGCGGGGACCCCAATACCCATCCTCCATCCTCAATCTCCAATCCCCGTTCCCTTTCCCATCCAATAAATATGATCACATCTTCATCCTCATCCTTGAATGAATCAGTAAAGAATAGGGGATCGAGGAATTTTTTTCCGTTTATATGAGGAAAAAAATATCAAAATACTCTTTTTAAATCTAAAAGATACTAAACTTTTATAACCAATATATTTAATAATAGATATACATTACATTTAATAATAAAAATATAATGTATTTATTAAATAGATATATAATATATTTAATCGGGGATGGGGTGGGTCGTGGATCACGTTACCCGACCCCATCTGCATCCCTAGTTTTTAACTTTTGAGAAACCTTGTCCCCGGTCTTCAGTTTTACAGGAAATCTTTGACCGAAACAAGTACATTGAGTTCCCCAATGAGAAGGGTCTCATTCTCATACCTACTCTTGGGGGAAGGTGGTAGGAAGCGTGTCGTGACTTTAGTGGATGAATCTAATTTAATAGAAAATAAAACAAAACTTAAAAAGATCAAAATTCTCTTCATCTTAACTGAATTTTTGTAACGATGTTAGTGTTAGGAATTCAAACCATTGAAAGTAAAAACCAGAAGGACACTACTTGTTACAAATCTATTGTGAGAATGATATATGCTAAAATCAATAAAATTTATGGACGAAAAATGTAATTCACTCTTTTCTTTTTCTTTTTCTTTATATATTGTCTCTTAGCAAAATAACAAATAATATGTGTCCAAATTAAAACGTTTTTTTTTTCATTTTATGAAATAATTAATATATTAAATATTAATAATAATATTAAAAACACAATTTGAATAATAAAGTATGGTAAACATTTATTATATTGGTTTATAGTTAGATTTTATCAATTTTACATATTAAACCGGTTAGCATCAAATATAATACAAAGGGCTTATTTAATTTTACATATTAAACCGGTAGCATCATGTGAGACCCACCACAAATGATTTTTTAAATTGTTGTTTGTATTTTTTTGGTCAAAAAGAAGGGGATCGCCCCCATGGTCATGGATCGCCCCCCGGGGGAGATCCATGTGGTCGTTTTGGCAATTTCGTGAAAAATTGTTATTTCGTTGATATATCGGGTATATTTTGGTCATTTTGGTGATTTTTTCCCAATTTAATTAGTAATGGCCATTGTATTTTGTTTTGAAAGTGGTTCCTATCACTAATTCCATTAAAAAGAAGCTTGTAAAGTGAGGAGCATTTTAGTCTTATTACCTGTTTCGTTGAATTTTTTTTTTATACAAACCATCATCGGCCAAAACCAGTTCATCATCTCCGTCCAGAATCCAACCACTATCAGCCAAAACCATGTCATCATCTCTGGCCAGAATCAACCACCATCGGCCAAAACCAGGTCATCATCTCCGGCCAGAATCCAACCACTATCGGCCAAANAACCACTATCGGCCAAAACCATGTCATCATCTCTGGCCAGAATCAACCACCATCGGCCAAAACCAGGTCATCATCTCCGGCCAGAATCCAACCACCATCGGCCAAAACCATGTCATCATCTCCGGCCAGAATCCAACCACCATCTCTAGTAACTAATATTTTACTGTTATGCATGAAAACAATTTTAATATATGCAATGGTCCAACCAAAGAAAATGTAGGATCCACATCATATGCAAAATAGGGAGATCTAAATTTTAAAAGGAGTATTTTGTTATATTGTTACTCTGTATGCAGGAGTAATATGTATGTATGTGCATGATTGTTGTAAGGAATTATGAACTCATTGTTCTTATTAACTGGTTAGTGGTATACATCTCAAGCATAGTTTTAAATAATTCGTTATGGCGCATTATGACATCAAGGCTTGGGTTTGCCACCATGTTAACGCTTATGACTCCACTCTAAGGCTTGGATTGCATCGTAACATGTTATGGCACGTACGACAAGTTGTGGCGCATTACGACGTGTTATTTTGTAAGGTGTGAGATTATTTTTAATATATAAGTTGAAGGATAAATGATAATTATGTACGAGATCTAAAACTTAAATAAACAAAAAAGGAAATCCAAAAACTCAAACCCTAAATAGATAAATATATACTCACATTCTCGTACACAAAGAGGCGAACACAATTTTTTTGGAAATTAAAGAAAGTGGTGAGCAAGATTCAAGAGATTTAATTCCGATTTTACACTTTTGATATCATTTTTTATAAGTTCTTTATATTTACTATCAATGGTTCTTAGTTTTATTACTTTATATGAATTTAATTTGTAATATGGTATTATTCAAAACACTAAAAACACAAGTGTATATATATATATATATAGGGACCTTTACAACCCAATTAATTGAGATATTTATAGAAGTGATTGGAGTTCATTTATTATGATTTGAATATTTATGGAATATGAATACAGTTTATTAATTATGATTAATACTTTATATTAGGAAACAATTAATTGATTAAAAATTGAATGGTTGAGATGAGGGTTGTATAGGATGTAGAAATGGCAAAGGGTGTAGAATAACATCCCTATATATATATATATATATATATATTAATAGGGTTGGGTTTCAGTGGGAAAGAGAGTTAAAGTGAGAAGCGTAAGAATGATCTCCGTCTTTGGATGCACATTAGAATGAGATACTCCGAGATGAGATCCACTAGATCACTCCCCATATCAAACGTGATTCATGGGTGAGTTTGAGATTAAAGGTAATCAAGGGTCTAGATTCCTTTTTACTCTTCTCACATTAACTCTCATTCTCACACGATCTTTCACTTATATATATATATATATATATATATGTGTGTGTGTGTGTGTGTGCCCCACCTTAGGGCACGTTTTTGGAAAACGCCTCGCAAGGCTCGAGGCTTGTCCTCACCGCCACGTCATGCCTCACGTTATTTAGAACCTTAATCTCAAGAGCAAAAATATCAAAAGTAGACAAGGGCAAGGAAAAGGTCTAGATCGACTATACAATGTTTTTTCATTCAATATTTAGTTTTTGTTTTAGCATTGGGATGTTTTATTTAAATTATGGTTTTCTAGTAATATCTTAGTTTGATATGAAATGAACTACAATTGTTCAACATTTGGTTTCAACTACGATTGTCTTCAATACCGGAAGATTTTTCATTTCATTTTGTGATGATATTTATGTTGATTATGAGGATTTGTAGCTGAGTACACAAAACATCTTCATAGTTGAAATGTGGGCGTTATTGAAATAAG